TTGATTTGGTCTCAATCAAAGTTGGTGAAATAATGAGATTGAAGCCAGATCTGCTCCATTTTAAGAATATTAACAAGGGATTCTTCCAACTCCCCTAGCTTGCCACTTAGAAACTAATCCCCAAACTAATGCTTCTTATTGTAAGTGATATGGCAAATAATACCACAATTATTCTATGATGGTGGGTAGAATTAAAACAATCTTTGCCAAACTAAGGTCTCCCATTGTCTTGAACTACAGTTTCCATCACAAATTCACAATATAAATCGTATTTCCATATAGCTTGAAATGGACGTTTTACTTTTTCATCTAGTCCTACCAAGTGCAAACAAGCTATCTAGAAGCTTAAACTGCGAAAATACCAGCATCTGTAGTGACCATATAGACCATTGTATATCCCTGCAGTATTCACATGTGCATACCTCAGCAGAGGGAGTTATGTAAAATCATGTCCTCCGGAGTGATACTTGTTAGGAATATAATCTAATGGTTGAGTTGGCAATATATAAATCATATAGCAATGCTGTACCTGTTTCTTTAAATCATACTGTAAAATGTGATTGGTTGCCGGTTTCCTCAATCGGTCATAAGAGGGAGCCAGAATGACTGTTAGCTCTCTGTTTGTTAGATGCTGGTCTGGTCTGATCTGAGTGTTTTGGAAGCTGGCTGTTAGAAAGTGCCGTGAGCTATTGTAAGTTTTGCAACTGCTAGCAAACTTTGAGTACCAGACTGTTTGTATGATTATTTGGATTATCCCTTAATTGAAAGACATTGAGACTATCTTATCCGTGTATGACTTGGACTGCTTGATGGACTCTGAACACCTCTATTTCCACGAAAAGTAAAAGCCTGTTTAAACTGCAGTGTCTCTGTATGCTGGTTTGTGTGTTATCCAACACAACTCTCACAATGCTTCTCTGAACGCACTCGCTCTCCCAACGGGGAGCTTACCTAACAATACTATTTGGCATAGTTCTCTCTTGCTCGTGTATTAGAGAGTTTCGTTAGGTCCTAACTAACTTGAAGTTATGTTTTCTAAACAACCCTGGGAGTTTAAATTGTTGCAAACAACTAACAATGGTTTCCCCTATCCTATTGCTTGGATTCTTAGAATGTCAGCTATCACCCTTAGTAGTTTCTCTCATTGCCTGCCCCACACTGGGGTGACAGCTGTTCCTTCTGCTTGGTCTGTAGCACCTGTATGTCAGTGCCATCTATTCAGACTACCCTGTTGGAAAGTAATACTTCTGAACAGCATAATATAAAATCTCCATTGGAAGGAGCTCCAGGAAGAGAGTCATTGGGTGACTACGTGCATTTCCAAAAAATAACATTTCAGCCCTTTGAAAAAAAGTTACATAATCTTCCTGTCTCTTTAGTGTGATTATGAAACAAAAATACAGGAACAAATCAGTTGCACTATGCTACCATAAGTATTTAAACTGAAACCCTTGTTTCCGGAGCCAGGCGAGTCACATTAAAACTAAAATCCATTTAAAAATGGGTAAACTAGGGTTATAACACCAGGGTTTTGAATCCAGTGGGTCTTGCTTTTAAGTGACAAGCTGAATAATGCCATTTGAGCAAGTATCATTTTTACCTGAAAGGTGAGACACTACCCCCCCCCCCTGAAATTTGCCTTTGAAATAGAGTGCAATAGAGAGAACACTTTAGTTTTCTGAAAGATGATGCAGAGGGCAGATCACCTGATTGAACCACTTGGGGCATCTAATAGTTTTTCAAGTCATGTAAACAAGGCAGATATCCCTGACAACTTAGAGCATGGAAATGAACTCAGTAGAATGTAAGGTGAATGGACGAGGAAGAATCCACCCCATCACTTCCCTCTAAGTGCTTTACTCTTTTGTGTGTGATCTGGTTGGAAATGAATTCAGCTTAAGAAATCCTTTCCAATTTTTGACCCATTCCTTCACTTTGGTTATAGTGATAGTCTGTTCTTCTGTTTCAACCACATTTACCACTGCTGCTAAGTGCCTCCTCTGATTATTTATATTTGCTCCCCACCCCACCCACTCAGACGGGGAAAGCAAACACCAACTGCTTTCCTTTTATGGGTTGAGAACACAGAGTTTCCATTGATGGGCCTATGTGTAAGCCTCCTCCCCCCTCTCCCCATTTCCTTAGACTTGATACCCTCTTGTCTAGTCAAAAGAAAGAAAGAAAGAAAGAAAGAAAGAAAGAAAGAAAGAAAGAAAGAAAGAAAGAAAGAAAGAAAGAAAATTAGCTTATTCACTGTCATAATACATATGGCAAAATATACGTATCTGAGAAAAAGGGAAGGCAGAGAGAGGAAACCAATCCAGATTGGGATTAGAAGTAGGGAACAGAAGGTTTATATGCTTTTTCTTTTTTATCTGCAATTTCCATTAAAACAAGAATGGGCAATGTTTAGCTCTCCAAATCATTGCTGTGACTCTGGAAGCTCTAACCATGCGACTAAATTTCAGCTGTGCAACTGTGGACAATTAGTATGAGATTTTAGGGCTATGATGGAGGAACAGGAATTTTCTGTCCAGTACCAATAGTTATGGTACTTCTTCCAAATCAGAACTGCTATAGGGTGCAAAGAGGCATTAAAGCCTTTCTAGTGCCATCAGGATCTTAGCCTGTCTCTACACCCACTAATGCAAATGTATTACATGGCTCAGGGTCCATGTTCATAGATAAAGGCTACTTACCAGTTTTTATATTGCTTATTTAAAAGGTTCATGTTACAAAGAAAGAAAGAAAGAAAGAAAGAAAGAAAGAAAGAAAGAAAGAAAGAAAGAAAGAAAGAAAGAAAGACCTTTCCTGTCAAACATTAAGATATAGAACTATTTGAAAATTCTCATTATTTGATTTTTTTTCTTAAGACTAAACTCAAATAACTTATTTGATAGTATGTCATCTTCATTGTAAACATAACCACGCATCAATATAGAATTCCAAACTGCTAAATGATTTATATGAAAAAGGTCTTACATCCTTCTGGATACCATGTTTTAGTCTTGCAGATCCTTGACGGTGAAAATTCAGTGTTTGGCATGTGGGAAACGCTCCAACAATTTAGCAGAAATCTTTAGAAGTCATTTCGGTTCAACTCTCCTAGAATAGGACTTACTTCCAATACTAGCAGTTTTTAGATTCAATGCTGGTTCCAAATTAGCTATCTAACATTCCAGTGGAACATAGATAATTAATATTAATAAAGACTTTATATTATTTTCCTATGGTTAAAATAGTTTAGTTGATACTGAAGTGACATTTATCCCTCCATTCGTTTTTTTCTTCATTAGGTCTAATTGAAAATTATGATAGATTATCATCATAGCAAAATCTGATCTCATTTGAAGGATAATTCTGGTTTTAAATAAAACCAAGTATCAGTTTTTATCTTATTGTTAATATTTTTCCTGCACATTAACATAATCAACTTCAGGCTCAAATAATACATCACTACAGCAACAGAAGTCAGTAACAAGACAAAAACAGCTGACATTTTAAAAGATGTTGCAATGTAGCTTATTGCAGAAAGATTATTTTAGCTCAAGAGCTTTTGTGAGACATGATCCATGGATGATTTATAAGCTGCTTATTAAAGAAGCTGGTCCACCTCAGTTACTTCAAGAAGGCAGAAAAATGGCCCTTAGATATGATTACATATATAGAAGATACTCAAACTTAATTCTCAAATAACCTATTTTGGAAATTATGCAACAAAACCGCTCTAAAGCAGAACATTAAGCAAGCAAATCAATGAAAGTGACTGCTCCATCATCCATTCGAGCTATATTTTAAATAATATCTGAGGTGATTATACGTTATGATGTTCCAAAGCACTGAAAGAAATGGATGCCTATGTAAACTGCAAACCATACATACTTCATGCAGTTTAAAAGGAATTAAAGTAAAATCTTACTCTCTGTTCCAGAATTCCAGGCAAGATTTCCAAGTGGAGATGCAAATCAAAATGCAAAAAGAAGAAAAAAAGGGAGAGAAGCATGAAAGAGACAGAAAAGTGAAATGTTAATGCGGGGAAAAAAAGATTCCTGCAAATAAGAGAAAATTAGGAAAAATTAATTTTTTCTCATCAGTCTATCAAGTGGCCTTAAATTAACTAATCTTCTTTCTCAGCTTTATATTCTAGATTACAGTGCTATGTTGCTTAGAATTCCTTAGTATCATTGACACACTGAATTGGCCATTTTGGGAATGCTTTCCTTGCATCTACTTTTTGACAGATTGTGTTGCTCAATCAGATGCAACCACCCTAGCTGTCAGTTCTCATGCCATTATAGTACCCCCACTTTTTAAATTGGAAATTGGGGGGATCTGCGAGACCACCTACTGCCACATACCTCCCAACGGCCAGTGAGATCCCACAGAGTGGGCCTCCTTCAGATGCTGTCAGCCAGACAGTGTTGGCTGGCGGCTCCCAGGAGGAGGGCCTTCTCTGTGGCTGCTCCGGCCCTTTGGAATGAACTATCCCCAGAGATCCAGACCTTGCCCACTCTCGTGGTCTTCCAAAAAGCTGTTAAAACCTGGCTATTCCGGAAGGCCTGGGGCTGTTGACCTCATTGCTGAGGTCTAGCTCCAATCAGATTGGGTGTATGGGTGATGTTTTAAATTGTTTTCCTTTATTTTTTATTAATTACTCTTCTTTTCACTTTGTAAACCGCCAGGAGTCCCCTGGGATTGGGCGGCCTATAAATCAATCAATCAATCAATCAANGGGAGGTCTTATTATTTTTGAAGTGCAGGAGGCGGCGAGCATGATCACCTCATGGCTGCTGCTGTGTTGCAATATTTTCAGGGAGGGCTTATTTTGGGAGAAGGGTTTATTTTAGAGCATGCACTCAAAAGCTCGATTGGTTTATTATCTGGGGAGGTCTTATTTTCAGGGAAACAGAGTATATTTGCCTTCATTCACACAGGAACTTTCCAGAGATGATGAGCAGGGAATTGCAGACAGGCAATCAAATATGGAATCAAGACAGCACCTTTCAACGAAGCCAAGATTGTAGGGGCAAGATAGGGGCTGGCAATGGGGGCAGCTAATTCCATGCCCAGTAAAATTATCTGAAATTCAAAAATCGGGGTATAATTATATACAATATGGAAACTTTGACTTTGCACTGAAAAGGATATATATACAGCTTCATCCCAATTTGCAATAAAAAGTTTGATTTAGCTGAGTTGCGATTAAGCCAAATAATAAGCCTATTCCAGGATAAGGGCTGAAGTCTCTAGAACACCAAGATTGACTGCTGAACTTTGTAATAGGGGCTGGCATGTACCTTAATGCCTCTCAGTTTAGAATTATAAACAGATTGGCCATAATAAAATTCACTGCTAGTTCAGTTTCTCCAGGATCATCAGACCCTTCCCCACAATTAAATGTTAATGATTATTAATTGCTTTTATGGTCTATAAGCAGTCTGCAATTTGGTAGTTTTGTAAGATTAACAGCCATCTTCCAATCCTAAAATTTGATAGATATATAGATGCTTCAAAGGTTACAATCTGTCTTCTTCTGCCTTCGCTATCTTTTGATAAATAAACTGATGAAACCTTGTGCAATCAGACAGAATAGCTAACGTTTCTTTTTCAGTGTAAGAATCATTCTTGTCTTCAGTTGTCATAGCTTTAAAAGCATATGATCCTAGTAAACAATTTTGAAGCAATATTGTTCCCAAGCTTCTAGTTTTTGCATGAATAGAAGAAGTAAACATTTTGCCAACATAATATCTCAGCAGGGACAACCTATTTAACAAAGCCTTAAGCACTGCAAATGTCCTCTCACAGATAATCTAACTGCTGAAATTCAACAACATTGTTGAACTTGTCAGAAAAATATAAAACATAGCTATAAATTTAGCCAAACAAGCAACAATCTCTAAACATTTTGGCAATTCTACTTTATTCTGTAAAATACATATTCCAATGATAGCTTTGGTTTTAAACATTATCAGATTTATAACATTTATACAAAGAATACTACCAAAACAGCTTTGTCTGCCAATCCAAATCCACCTTTTGCTCCATTTAACTCCAGATTTCTTTCTTTCCATCTATTCAATACTTTACCCTTTTATCATGCTCTTGTTTACTTTTGCCCAGTTCGATATATCATCTTACCTATATTAGAATTTTTTAGTACAGTAAAAGTATACAAAATCAAAAGAAGATGAAGGGAAAAACAAAACAGAAAAAGAAGAAAAAGAAAAGAAATTTTAAAGAAAGAATACAGAGAATTAGAATTTCCTCTCTTCCTTCTATTAGGAAGTAATTGCCACCTTTCTCTTTGGCCCCTTTTAATCTCCAAATCCATAAATAATTAATTCAGTCTTTTCTTCCTCTATAATCTTCTATTGTAGCAGTGGTGGGATTCAAATTTTTTTACAACTGGNTAAATAAATAAATAAATAAATAAATAAATAAATAAATAAATAAATAACAGACAGGCATTTGTCCCAGCTGGTAACTTTAAGACATCTCACACCCATTTCTCCCTTCTGGGGAAAATGGATGTGAGAATGTTGCCAAAGCACTTGACATAATTCATTGGTCCCACAAGTGTTTCATCCCATTGTTCTGAAGGGTGAAATGGCTACACAGTTACCACTCACCTCTTTCTCAGCAAGGAAGTGAAATCCAACTCTCTGCCTTCATCTTGACCATCCACACTGCATAACAGAACAAGAACAGGACTCATTTTTTTAAAAAAAGATCCAGGTGAATATTTTGCTTTTATATAATGATACATAATCATACCAGAGTTCCCTAACTTGGAACAGGCACTGGGCAGCCAATGCCAGAAGGATGAAAGGAACAAAATCAGGTCTGATTCAAAATAAACTTCAGGAACAACATAGCTTATTTTGCCCTTTTCTCCTCCTAAAAGTTTACCAAGTCCATTGCATCTGGATAAGTATCATACAAGGTATGGTATCATACAAGCTTATTTCCTTTTCTGCAAATACTGTTCTGAATATAAACACAGTAAATAGAAAAACATGCTTCCTGTTGTCATCCATATTAGACTGTTACTCATAGACAAGAAACGGGCAACAATTTTCAATAAATAACATAAGCCTTTAATAAAACCATTTTAATTAGTTCAATAACAAACTGTTTCGTTATTTTTGGATTTGGTTTTACTATACAGCTTAATATTGTCAAACACAGTGACTTTGGGTCTTTATAATAGTGTGGTTGTTATCCAATGATGGAAAATAATCCATCAATGAAATTAATATCTACTTCCTCTGTCCTCTTTTGCACATTGTCCTGATTTGCTCCAGAAGGTTGAATCAGTAGAACAGTAGAACCTCTGATCACGACCATAATTCATTCCATAACTTTGGTCGCAACCCAATTTGGTCATGATCCGACCCTAACCAAAATTAATGCAAAATTAATGTGGCTGCCACATGTGGGTAAACAAACAACAGTAAATTTGGTGCTTAAACACCACCACCCCGATTTGGCCATTGTCATAAGCATTTGTGACCAGAGATTCTACTGTATAGGAGGAGGGAAGCAGGAAAATGAGTTAAGCTGCCACAGTTCAAATAAAAATAAATGTTGTTTGTAATTGGGTGAACAATTGTCCCCAAGCTATCACTTTTCAGATATGCTGAAAGCATAGTTATTAGGATTCTTAGCTAGCATGATTAAACCTTAAATATTTTACTTATTGTAAATATGTTACTTATTGTATTCCATGAGAAAAGTAATAAGCAATGTTATAGAGTTGATATTTGAGAGGAAACATAAAAAATATTTGGGCCTGTACTTCTTAAGAGTTCCTTGGGTAGATATATACAGTTGTTTAAAATAATCAAATCAATTTAAATCTGCAATTTAAGAGAATATAACACTATTAAGACATATGAAAACAGAAGTTAAATTAACAAAATATATGCCAAATGTGTAAATTGTTAGAAGTGCAATTCTGGTATATTTTAAAATATTTATCACAAATCAAATGCCATTTTATACTAAAATTTGCTAATATTTACAAACATCAAAAAGCAAAATTATGGACAAAAAGTCTAGTTATCTAAGCTTCCTTACTTCAGAGATGTTGTTTCAAATAGTTATTTCTAAACTGAAAATTAAGATTAAGAAAAAAGAATTGTTCATAGAGTTTAATAATTCTATTTCTACTTAATCATGCGGGATTAATATAAAATCATTCCTTTTCATTAAAATCAAAATGATATTGAAAATTTATTTTTGACCAAATCTGATTCTTTATGACTTGTAGATTTCAACTTCCAGAATTGCTGGCTGAGGAATTCTGGGAGTTGAAGTCCATGAGTCTTAAAGTCAAGGTTGTACAGCCCTGCCTAAGCCATACTATGGTGCATCTCTGGCACCTGATTCATTGATTCAATTGGGTTGCCCAGTAAAACAGGAGTATTATGGCACAATCCCAAACCACCCTATAGACCTACAGCTACCGGTATGTGATCAGAGACCTGTTGAAGAAAGTGTTGCTTCCCCACCCACTCCCTTTCTCTTGCCGCTCTAGCCAACCTTGAAAATGGTTGTCAGTTCTAGTGCAGTAGAAAAGATATGGGGATAGGAGTTATCTGCCAGGTGTTCAACCCTACAGAAGCTAATGAAATGGTGAAATAAGGCTATTTGAGACAGACAAATGTCTAATTTGAGGAAAAATAGTCTTTCATATTACTAAAAGCAGAATAGTCCTAGAAAACAGTGTATTGAGTCCAGATGATGCCTGTAACTATCTAAAACCGCAAGGAAAAGTTGGAAAAAGCCAATCTCTGAACATTATCAGTAAGATATTATAGATTCTTTCATGTGGCAAGATACACTATATTGCCAAAAGTATTTGCTCACCCATCCAAATAATCAGAATCAGGTGTTCCAA